ACCACATCAGCACAGAGAAGTGATTGTCAATTCAAATCCAATAGTAGAAGAGGTAGTAAGGGAATTAGAAGTAATCGGAGAGGTTAGGATTAGAAGATACAATTCAAGAAGTATGATTCAGTGAGAAAAGTTTAGAGAGTCGAAACTAGAGGGGTTGAGGAATCCAGAAGATTAGGATTTGAGAGAATACAGAATAAATGCACCGGTGCCATTGCAAACGATTTTGAGCCATGTCATTCAAGGTATCTAACCATCGATTTGAGGCAAAAACATGAAAAGAAAGAATAGCACTTTACAACAATTGAAAATGAGAGCCAAGGACAGAGTAGATTGGATGGTTGGCCACTTATGATGTATGACGGGTAACAGGCTAAAGTAATTACGGTTAAACTATTGATTGGTGGTTGTGAAGCCTTCTTCTGTAAATCGACGATTACTAGCACAATGGATAATTCAAAGAGAGTATGACAGGTAATCACTAATGACAAATATGGTAGTTGAGAGCTTGATACCTGGACCTCAAGCAAAATACAAAAGGCAGGCAGTATGAAATGAAGACTTTCGTCCAAGGTTAGTTTAAGCACAGAAATTAATTTATGTATGGTTTCAGTTATTCTGCAAACTTCTGGAAAAATGCTAAATCTTGTACGAAAGTCACTAACTGTTCCGTCGAAAAATGAAACGCATTTTGCCATCTTTCTAAAACTAAATGAGATATTTTTTGTGAACAGTAGTTACAAAAAGCAGTTTAATCTTTCTCCTAGCTTCCAAACAGTTATTTCAGGAATACTTAAAAGCTATCAAACAACCCCTACGCCAAAGAATTCAATGCTACAACTAAACGCAACTATCCAATCCACTCTGGTTTTGTAATGCTTCCCAAATTGATATTAATCCATGACTTAAATCATTTCACCAAGTTAATTAAAGGTTAATTGATAATAACATAATTGATAAACAGAAGCAAAATCTATGTTAACTATGTGTATAAACTTTGCAAGAGTTAAACAGCATACAGTTAGCTTAAATTTATAAAAAAAAAACAACAACTTATCCCTAACAGATTGAACCTGAAAATAAAGTGTATCAACTAAAAAAATGCTTGTTTTACAATGTTATTTACCAGTTTATTTTTTAAATAATAAAAAAGACATACAGTGAAGCGTAAATCAAATAACAATAACTATCTTTCCTAAAATTATGATCCTCAAGAAAAAATAACCTCAATGTGATATTCTTATTCTTATAGTCTATTAAATATTAACCTACAGGATGTTGTAAACATGATGAGTGGTATAAATCAACCCTTAACTAGATTCCAGTGAAAGAGGAAATAAGGAAGAAGCGGTAGAGGTGGATAGGACACATATTGAGGAAAGCACTCACAGCTGGTTGTTTTGGTTGTGGAGCTTTCATTGTTCTTCTGAACAACATCATCAGCACGAACTTCAGATAGAAGTGAAGCATTAGAATTTCTCCACGTTTGACCTGTAGCTTGTTCTGCTGACCTCGATCTTGATTGGTTGTTGTTGACATTTGACCTGTCGTTGTTTGCAACTATGTTTTGATTGCCTCCCTCTTTTGATCTGTTTCTTGATCTAGTGTCACCTATGATTTTCCTGATTGGTTGATAAATTGGGTCACTGTCGATGTGTTTGTTGATTGCTAATTGACCTGAGTGCCAAGCTTCTAAAAATTCTCTAGTGTTCTTTGTCCTCCCCCTACCCAGTATTTCCACATTGTTCCAATCAATTGTGTGTCCATAGTTGTCGGTGTATATTGATATAAGCGAAGTGTTGTCGTGGCGTTTGACTGCTAATTGATGTTCACGTAAACGGAGCTGAAGAGGTCGTCCACTTTGTCCTATGTAGTGTTTTTCACAATTTGAGCAATTTATTTTGTAGATGATATTTGGTTTTTCTTCCTTTGTCATTTTGTCCTTTGGTCTACATAGGATTGACTAAAGTGATTCTGTTGGTTTGTGTGCCACACCTATTCCAAATGGTTTCAGTAGTCGTGCCGTATGCTCTGATATGTCTTTGATGTATGGTAGGATGATGCGTTTATTTGTTCCTGTGCTTGATTTCACTCCTGATGATAGTTTTGGTTGATGTTTTTTGATGAAGTTGCGTGGATAGCCGTTCTTTTGGAAGATAGTCATCAGATGTTTTTGCTCGGTTTTTAATGTTTCGTATGTGCTGCAGTGTGTCTTCGCTCTCTTGAACAGAGTTTGTATGCAGTTGATTTTGTGGGTTCTTGGGTTGTTGCTGTCGTAGTTGAGAATTACGTCGGTGTGGGTTGGCTTCCGAAATACTTGAGTTTCTAGTTTTCCTGTGTTAGTTCTGGTGATTAGTACATCCAGGAATGATAGGCTGTTGTTTGATTCCAGATATCATCACCAAATATCATCTACAAAATAAATTGCTCAAATTGTGAAAAACACTACATAGGACAAAGTGGACGACCTCTTCAGCTCCGTTTACGTGAACATCAATTAGCAGTCAAACGCCACGACAACGCTTCGCTTATATCAATACACACCGACAATTATGGACACACATTTGATTGGAACAACGTGGAAATACTAGGTAGGGGGAGGACAAAGAACACTAGAGAATTTTTAGAAGCTTGGCACTCAGGTCAATTAGCAATCAACAAACACATCGACATTGACCCAATTTATCAACCAATCAGGAAAATCATAGGTGACACTAGATCAAGAAACAGATCAAAAGAGGGAGGCAATCAAAACATAGTTGCAAACAACGACAGGTCAAATGTCAACAACAACCAATCAAGATCGAGGTCAGCAGAACAAGCTACAGGTCAAACGTGGAGAAATTCTAATGCTTCACTTCTATCTGAAGTTCGTGCTGATGATGTTGTTCAGAAGAACAATGAAAGCTCCACAACCAAAACAACCAGCTCAGAGAACAAAACACCACCACAATCATCCACCTGAGCTACAAGTTTTCTCCACCATCTCGAAAGCACTCACAATTGCGTCACAAGACAAACCCTTACTTGGAACCCTCAAGGTCAAGACAGACAGATACAACGCAGAACTTTGTACATAAGTACATCAGTTCAGGTTGCCATGCCCCATCAGCACAGAGATGTAACTGTCAGTTCAAATCCAAGAGTGATAGCAATAATAGAAGTATTAGCAGTAATGGAGAAGATTAAGGAGCGGAGATATGATTCAAGAAGTGTAATTCAGTAGATATATTTAGCAGAAAGGTAGAGACTATGAGGAATGCAGAAGCTTAGAATTAGAGAGAACACAAAAACACATAAACATCGGCGACTACCGTCTCGCGGACCCAAACCAGGTAGCCTACACCTACCAACATGACTCAGTCCACTTGTTAGTGACTTCATGGATTTCTGCCATGTTTTGGTTTGGCCGCCCCTAGCTTTCTTCCAATCTACTCCTACACTACAAAACATAGCTCGTCCCGACCATAACTGCTACCTTGACTATCGTGATGACCCAACCGAGCTATACTGGCTGGAACATATATTCCTAAAGATTCTACCATGCCAGGCAGGTTGAATGGAGAACGATAAGACTAGAAGCAGCTACCCAAGGTCTGAGGGCGAAGTCGTACTGCTGACTGCAGAGGGATGTGACAGCAGTAACGTGTTTCCCTTGGACAACCAGCATGTGCAGCGATGCTGCCTTCTCACAAGGAAGGAAGTGGTTAGAAAATGTCGACCCTAAAAATGTCACACCTCACCCTACCTCACAGAGTTCCGTCTCCGGCGGTGAGGGTACCCACTAAGGGCTTTCAAGAGCGGAGCTAATCCTCAAAAAACGTTTCATAAAAAGGCCGTGCGTGACCGGCCTCAAGCAGTTGTCCCTTGGGCTCTGCGGTCACGCACCCAGGTCTCTAAAACCAACACTAATCTATCTTCCTTTTCAGGTCCCTCAAGAAACAACCTTCCACGGTGTGGGAAGCCGGGAAGTGACAACCGCCCTCATACCCTAACAGCACACAAGACCAAATTGGTCAAAATAAAATCCTTTCTACATCCCCTAATACCTCTCTTACCTCCACGACTAACTCTTCTCACATTCCTTTATTACACTGCACAGTTAATGCAAACAATGCGAGTTCATGAAACGTCATTCCTGGTCTCCTGAAACCCCGTTCTAGGAAGGTTAAGGAATACATTACGCCTAGAAATGGAGACATACATGAGAAGAATGAACAAAAATTGTACAGAATAAGAAAGGGAAGCCCAGGACAGAGTAGATAGGAGAATACGGGTCGGTGGCCTATTTGCCATTGGAGATAACAGCCGTATGTAAGAAAGTAATTGTATCAATGTCATAAATGCGAGTGAATAATCTACAAAATTTATATTTGCAAACCTCATATCCCAATGCTTCTCTAATGACTGAGTTTATTTCTGTATTCTCTTCTTTTATGTAGATATGTATCATTTTATGAAAACAAAAATGTATTGAGGATGAGTTACATCGATCAGTCGGTTTGGTAAATAATCTTTCGGTTGTTAGTGTGATTAACATTGATATTGTTGAGTAATATCTATCAATTAATCAATGAATCACTGGTAGTGAATAGATTATCCTTTTGAACAAACGTAGAACATGATCTCCTACAAGAACAACTTATTAATGATGATGATGATCGTGATGATCATTTAGAATTTCAGGCGTTCGCGCGCAAGACCCTAGGTGCTGGGTTTGAATCCTGCGAGGTGCAGGAGTCGTGGATGCGCCTTGCTGACGAAACAGCCGTCCAGTGCTTCCAGGTCCCTAATGGTGGTCTAACATTGATCGATTCATGATTTCAAAAATGTGTAACTTAACAACCTTCACCACACCGTCATGAAAATAAAAACTACCGAATGATTGTGACAGATCGACTGGTAAATGAGTTCTTTGGTCAACAGGATAATTTTGTGATTATTTAAAAAAAAGAAGCAAAACTAAGATTGAATTCATTTTAATCATTAAAATCAAATATTACCTGCAAGCATACTAACAACAGAGAGTAGAATTTTTTCAACTGATTGAACAGGACTCCAACGTTCAACGGAACTTTCATAACCCATTGGATCATCACCAGGTGCATGAAGTATGGAAATGCATACACGTCCATCTGGATAGACTAGATAAGAAAGAGTGGAAGAGTGAAAGATACATTGTTAATGAATAATTCAATGATATTTATTTTCTTTCTCTTCTTGATTGTTGTGATTGTTATATTATGACGGCCCAAGATAAGTGAAGCGATCAACACGCTCAATTACTTCACTCCCTATCCCTAGTTCAGGTGCCGATGCAATCCAATCTTGAAGCAACATTTTGCATTTCGAGGGAAAGGGGAACCGCATCCCGAACATGCTTGGATTGTTGCTTAAGGTGATCAGAAGACTCTGCATTTTTTAAGCGTCTTCACCAAGTAGAACTATGTCATCGGCATATTCTAAGTCGATAAGCGAGCCTCTTGCTTGTAATAGGTCTACTCCTGAAAATTCAGACGAGGATAAGGTTATTTCTAGGAGCATGTCTATGACGATGATAAATAGGAATAAACAAAAATGGACGAAGAAAGTAAAGAAGAATTATTGTTGATACAATTACTAACTAAAGTGATGGAGAATTTTTTTACCTCAAATGGATGAAATGGTTGGTTTAGCAGCCTCATGTTGTATGTGAATTAGGTCAGTTTAATTCCAAAGATTTCAGTGTTATTCTAAAGAATACAATTAGCAATAACTTTTCAACGAAGTGAACGCAGTAATTTTATAAGCGTCAAACAACATATGTTATTTCTGCTTTTGGCGCACGTAAACAAATACAGACATGCATTGGATGAAGATAACGTCGAAGTTCTGTGTTGAATAAATTCTAAGAGTGTCAGACAGGACTTTGAAGTGTGAGATTCGGAGCAACTGGCAATCAGTAAGCGCATTAACGTTGACTAAACCTACCAATCCATACGGAAAAGATTAGTCGATCACATAATCAAAGGTCGACCAAACAAGTGAACAAATGAAGACAATAAGACCTAGGCTGGCAGAACAAAACTGACTTGATGCTTAAGTGATGATGTGTTGGGGATGTTAGATCACCAATGTTGGGATATTCATCCAATATCCTAAGAGAATTATTAGTCAAATCCTATTGATCAAAATTATGGTCGTTTTAACTGTCAAAGTCAAATACTTCAATGTTGTCTTTTATTGGTCATCCGGACTGTCAATGTCATTTCAAATGTTACTTCCCATTGGTCGTCTTAACTGTCAATGCCACAGAATTCGATGCTGTTTCCTATTCGACCAAAATGTATAAATACGCATTATCTGTAACATTTTATGACCACGACCACGACTAAGACCCGGTCCCGGATCCCTAGTCCGGGATCCTGTTTCTCTTATGGATTCGGACCTCATACTTTCTGGATGCTTGTAGAATACAGGTTCTAGTTCATATCACGTCTTCTTATTGTCACTGAATATGGGGGTTGGGATAATCGGATTTGTGTAGCATGTCGTGTCACCGGATCCTCGATATCGTTTTCCGACTAGGTAAACTCGTAATAGTTCAAGCATATCAAGTTGACGTGTTTACGTGCAGGCGTAACACCCAAACTATATAGTTTAAGATATGCTACAAACAAGAAAAACCAGTTAGATTATTTTCTTTACATGAAAACAGAAAGTCAATTTTTAAAAAAAAGAGAAATATACTCACTATTTGGATGAAATACTTCAGTCAGAAATTGCATTTTTGGTGGAGACAAAGGATAATCAGATGGGAAATTCAAACGCACAGCGAAAACACCACCTTCAAATGGAGTACCTTCCGGTCCACTGGAATACAACAACATATGAATTAAA